CTCTCTCTCTCTCTCTCTCTCTCTCTCTCTCTCTCTCTCTCTCTCTCTCTCTCTCTCGGCCTGCATTTCGCGAACGACGTGCGCACGTCGGAAATATCACGCTATAAGCAGGTGTCGCGTGTCACAGGTGCGACATAAGCGCAATACGTCGGAGATAAGGGAGGAATTCAGGGAGATTCAACAGGGGGGGGGGAAGGGAGAGGAGGAGAGAGGAGGACGGTGATAACGATGACGCGCATTGTAGCGAGTAACAGTTACAAATTGTGTTATGCGCGCTGTAAATTAATCAGTAAAGCGCACGAATGTCGGACAGCAGGGACGGAGGGTGCCAGAGAGAGAGAACAGAGAGGATGTTTCATTGGGGTAACATCGCTTCGCTTTCAACGCGCTATCGGACGGTATTGAAAGCAATCTCGCGTTTGTGAAAATTCGAGCCGCGTCATAATCGAGGAGGTTAACATTTAGTGTATCGAAATGCACCGGCGTCGGAATGAGTTTCGCCTCGGAGAAGCGCAAAAACGCCAGAGAACAATAGCTCGCCTTAATTGATCCGAGGTGAACTCGCCACTAACTTCCGGCCTGAGAGAGAGAGAGAGAGAGAGAGAGAGAGAGAAAGACGCGCAATCTATGATGAATAAGAATTAGTTACGATGACTTTTGTGTGGAAAATGTGTCTCTCGCGGGAGGTAACGTATCGGGAATGAATACAGCGCGGCCGGGATCGCGCGCGATGGCACTGATATGACGTGAAAATAAGAGAAACAAAGATATATATATATATATATATATATATATATATATATAGAGAGAGAGAGAGAGAGAGAGAGAGAGGGGGGGGGAAGGAGGTAGGGAGGGAGGAATATAGGAAAGCCTTCTCGATTGGCTGCTGAATTAATTTCGTCACTGTTGCAACAATTATATTCATTAAGCCGCGTTATTCGGAAATTGGAGTTTGCAAATTTACTGCTAACGCACGAATAATAACGATAATAAATAGATATTAATAACGAGGAGAATAATAATATCGCGCTTAATATGATTATGCGGGAGAAATGCGCGGCATCGCGCGGAAAACAGTGTGCGTCGAACGTTTAAGAATTAATCCGGCTCTAATAAAATTAATTTTGACCGCGCCGCGAGAATTCCCGAACGCACGCGTACCCCTCGCCCATTTTAACTTTTAATTATCCATCAATCGCAACGAGGTGCAACGAGAGGGAGCGAAAGATCGTGCGCGCTCTCTGCCCGGTCCGTAACTTCTCTTTAATGTTGTTATCTCGCAGCCGGAATTACGCAAACTTATAATTACAGACATCCGCTCAAAGCACAGGGATGGAAGAGAACTGCGAAGATGAACATGCCCTACTTTAAAACCGGCTATGCGAATAATATAATAATAACGAATATTGGCGCGAGGGGGCGATGTAGCGAGTCGATCGGCGCGCGCGGAATTTTTATTAATTTTTACGTGATATTTTTAAAAGGTGAGAGAAAGAGAGAGAGGGAGAGAAAGGGGAGAAAGATATCCTCCCTGTGCTCCTCCCGAGGGGAGAGGACTCGAGATAATCGTAAAACGAGCGAAAGAGATTGATGAAAGAAAGGGAATACAAAAGATAAATTAATAATGACAAATATTCCGCGTATACGAATCCCGGAGAGCGAGTGAGAAAGAGAGGAAAAGATAAGGAAGTTATTATTTGTTCGTATTAAATATTTACACACTCGGCGAGAGGAAGGATCTCGACAAACTTCCGATGGGGAATCAAGTCGCGGCAATAAACGTACATTTTGCGATTAAACAAATACGCAATATAGTGTGATATTGCGCGCAATACGGATTCCCATATTATCACTTATATATGCTTGCAATAACTACAAAATAAATTATTAAATTATAACGTTAATTCTATATGAGGTAATATACGGTAATTCTATATGCAGAATTCATAGGGTTTTTTTCACCTGATACCCACCACCATATCTTTTTCTCTGAGTGTCGCGCGAGACAAATTCCGAAGACGCTTAGCGAGTTTTAATTTCGAGTAATGAGGCGAAAGTACCAATTCCTGCACTTAATCCTGAACATTCTTATTGTTTTGATTTTTAAATACCAATTTTTTTTAACTTTTAACATACATAGAATATATATATACACTGTAAAAACTGATGTGTTAAATTTAACACATTTCATGTATCCCAAATCATCCACTCTCATTTATATATAAATTTAATACAAAACAAATGTATTAAAAAGTAACACGCAAAATATGGAAAAAATTAACAACAATTTAACACTTGAATATCTATAATAATTAGGAATCACAGGTTGTGTTAAATTGATAGATTTAATATGTCAGACATAGATTAATTTAACACTTTCATTTCATCAAAACCATAGATTAATACTTCTCTCAAATGTTAAAGTAACATTTTATTCTAATTAATTTAGCATTATACATATGTCAATTTAACACAAACTGTGATTCCTGACGGTATTCAAATATTAAATTCTTGTGTTAATTTTTTACATATTATGCGTGTTACTTTTTACCACATTTGTTTAAATTTACACATAAATGAGAGTGGATAATTTGGGACACATAAAATGTTAAATTTAACACATCAGTTTTTACAGTGTATATTCCATACGTGTATATATTTTTTGTTGAAAGTTTAAGTATTTAAAGACCAAAACAATTAGAGAGTCCAGCAACAAGAATGTATTCGAATAATATCGATATTTTTGCCTTACTTTCGAGTAATCTCAGCGTCTCTTCGAGGCTAAGTTTTCGCTCACAGTCCGAAACTGGGCGCGTCTCGCGACGTGTCCGCGGAGAAAGGTTGAATCAAGGTTAACGCAGACGGAACTGGAAGTCGCGGGCAGGCTCGAGGAAACCGAGCCGAGGACGACGCGTCGGCACGTACCTTCACCGGCGGCCGCTCGCCGTTCGCCAAGGCGCGGAAATACGCGCCGGTCCATCGCAGGAGATCGCTGGGCTGCGTGCGAATCGCGGCCTTCGCGTAGAGCTTGAGCACATGCGGAAACGTCGGCGGTACGTTTATCTGCTGGGCGCAGTAAATGCTCCCATTCGGATCTGACATCGCGCCACACCAAGCCACGGCACGGCACGTGAAAAACGCCGACAAGCGGAAGCATGACAAGAGACGAGCGAGCCAACGAAACTCGACGTTGAGCGATTCGATTGATTCACGCGGCTCGCCCCCACCATTGTCATACCTCGTTTCTCTTGATAGACTATCGCTGGGTGTAGCACGTAGTAGCAGGATACGAGAGGCACCCTACGAGGAGCGAAGGGCCGCGGCGGGCCGAAGGACTCCGCGTGTCCTGGCGAACTTCCAGTGTCTTATCCTTCCCGAGTCGCGCGACGGATAAATAATACGATAATATTTAAACTCCAAGGAGCTGAGAATAAACATCGATGCGCGAGAATTAAATGTATCTCCAGCGTGAAATTACACAAACTGGATAAACTTGGAAAAGTTCTCTTTACACTTCGAGGAACTCGATCTCCCTTGTTCTCTTCTGAACGCGGAAATTTGATTTTATATATTTTTATATATTATTCTTCTTTTTCTTATAATTTTCTTATATATTATCTGGTGGGTATGTGTGCAATATGAATTACTCTGCAGGCTATTTTTTCTTATTAATTGGGAAGAAAGTTCTCAGGCTGACATTCATATTGCGTCCGGCTTTATTTTAAGGTTTAGTCATCGGATGGGATAAGGAAGCAAAAAGATGTACAGAAGAAAGATGCCCAGGACTGGTAGGACAGATACTGTGCAAGTAAGTAGAATGAAATGTAAAGAATAAGAGAAAGGTTATGGAATATAAGAAACTCCTTCTTGGCGATATAAGTTGAACGAAACATATGGGAAGTGAAAAAAAGGCAGAAGGATCACCACTTCATGGAATTAGTAGGAAGTATAGAGTGGAGTAACGAAACTAACAAGATATGGGAGAAAATTGGAGGAAAAGACAGGAGATGAGGAGAAAATAAAGAGAGTAGTGAAGAGATCGGATAGGAAGAGGAAAGATAAATGAATAGGTGCGTACAGCCGAAGGGAAGGACGAAGTTTGAAGTATTGTATATGAGAACGATATGAATTCACTCTTTGAGTGAAATAAGGAAGTGTAATTATACACGATAGATACGGAGGAAGATATAGGCAGTGTAAAGATTAAGTAAAAATTAAGAAGATTGTGAAAGAAGACTACAAGAATATTTAGGTAACGAGGATGATATCACAAAGTGAACTAGAGAGAGGCAATGTAACTGTAGGGATATTAGTAATCAGATAGGTAGAAATAAATAATAAATGAATATATGTAGTTAAGGAATAAAATTGTAAATCAAATCCTCTATATCGACTATATAAGCTGAAGAAATATTGATACTGATATAAGAACCTGTGTGAATCGAAATTTTTCCCTTATTTTCGATTTAAACTTTCTAATATCTGTATATTCTGAAGGATCAGTGTGTGCTTAATCCTTTGGAGTACAATGGTCTCACTGTGAGATCACTTATTAGAACCAAATCACAGCTTCAGGCATAGTGACCTCGCAATGAAATCACCGCTCAGTCTGTGCATAGTGACGCGCTCTACCGGTTTTTTACTCGTACTGTTCGTTCTAGTTTACTCGCGGTTTTGGTAAAAATAGGAAAATAGAAAAAATTAACTTCAGAAAGAATTATCTCTTGGATTGTGTCATTTTTTTAGACATGTGTCACGAATATTTTTATTAGAATCCGAATTTTGAAGATCTTGTGCTTCAGAAGGTTAATACATATACAGACTAAAGTCCTGTTTAGGTCCACAAAATGGCAGAAGACATACAAAATGCCACTTGTAGATTCCAAAGAGGATCGGAGGGCAAACTTAGCAGGCTAAATAGAATCAAAGAAGTTGATACAGACTTCAAAGCATCAAAGCAAACGTCAAGTGGAAATATTGAGGTGAAAAGTAGGATCAAAATTTCAACTCGGAAACCGACTATGAACGCCGACCTTTGACTGTGTCCTAATGACCACTTTTCGAATATTCATATAGAGGGGCGAAAATTGGTAGGATTGATATAGATTTATCCAAATATGAGCAAGAGCTAATGGGCCATCTGGTTTCGCGTAAATAATACGTTGCCATCCGAAGACTACGCGAACGATGGGTGTTCGCGTAAAGTTTAGCCAAAGTCCCCCGGAGAATTTAACACTTGGAACTTAAACTGCAATAACCGCGATCGATGCAACATTGAAAGCGCACTTCATTTTATGAGGGGTCACGTCGTCGGGCCCTTTGAATGTTTAACCAGCCGGCTGGTGGTTATCCGACTCCCACGTGTCGCTTTTAATATCTACTCGTTCAATTTCAACCAATCTGCTGCAATTCGCGTGCGTATCTATCCATCGCGGGGCATCTATTTTTCAGGCCTCGTAACAAATTCTACGACGGGGCGTTTTAAGCAACAAGGCCAATTCGCGCCGACACGTGGCGCGATCGTTACTGTCGCCTTCAATTGGAAGCGCGCGCGTTGCCGACTAATGCGGGCAACGAGCAAACGGTCTCGTAAATCGAAACGTCGATCATCATAAACGTCACGTTTACGATTTTGCCGAGCGTATCAGTCGCGGCATCGGTCCAATTTCCGACGATGGAAGTCCATTTTTGAAGACCTCGCCGACCGACACACCGTGCCGTTCATCGTTGCACCCTCATTTCATGGAAACGGTTAAACGTTTCGAAACGAAATCACGCCCGATCGCAAACTCGATCCTCCTCGCTTTTTGCAAACTCGCGGATTGGATCTCGTGCGTCAAAAAATTTTAAGAGTCTCCCCCTCCTCCTTCCCTAAAAAAAAAAACGACGAAGAACATAAACTTCAATGTGCACATTTAGCGACACGTTCGAAAAGTTTTGTAGGTCCAAAACCCACAATAATGCGGCACGACCATTTACTCGCAGTGCTCCAGATACGCAAACAATCAACCTCCGCCGACCTCAATAAATACCTATACTGTGCGTGCGCGTACGTGCGTATATGTACACGTGTGTGCGTGCGCGCGTACGCGGAGTCGGCGCGCGTCTGTGTTTCGCGCGCATCGCCAGTATTTTTACAAACGCGATGAAAGCGCGATGAATTACGTCGAACAATAAGACCAATACGCCGGCCACCTCCGACACTCTCAATGGAATACAAATGGTATTGGCAAACAACGGGAGATCGACAGCCCTCTCTCTGGAAATCGAGCGCGCGCGCCGAGCGAGTCGCGGCGCGCTCGCGCTGCACGCTCGCGCGCCGCCGATGTCCTCCGCCGTCAGAATCAATGATCGATCCGACCCCATTCCTCCTCGCATTATTGCGACCCCCGTTCCATTACCCATGCGTCGACACATATACATTTCTCGATACGGTCGCGCCGCTTTTGTTGCCATGCATAATGAAACGTTCGTATTCAAACTCGCCCCGTCCGCGTCACCCCCGCGGGCTCTGTGGTGTACGACGTGGCCATTCAACGCGGCTGAAAAGTGTCCCGTGTATACGAGGAGACGCGGGACCCTCTCTGATCCTCTCCTCTTTCTCTCTTTCCTCCTCTCTGCGGATCAAATTCTATCGACGACTTAATTGGCGATCGCGCGGATAACCGCCGACGCGGAGAGCCAATCAAGGATCGTGAGAGCGCGTGCAAAGTGACGGAGCCTAATTTCTAGATTGAGCCAATCTAACGTGAGTTACCGCGCTGGAACGAGGAGGTCTTATCTACCAGGGAGGAGGGCGAGGGGGAAGAGGGGGGGGGAGGGTAGACGTCGGAAATGGAAAGGGAATTGAAACATTACGGTAAGCAGATTTGTCGGCGATCGCGACGTTCGCTCTCGCTTCGAGAACGACGTACTTCGGGGTTGAATTCGGCTCGCAATGACGGAGCAGCAGCGGACCGTAAACGTTGGGCTTCAAAGAGAATTAGCTTTCCGGCATAATCGCGGCGTTACGTCGTTCCTCGCGGCGCGCGTTCCCTTCCGTCGATCTCAAGAGTTCGCTCTCCCTCTCCGTCGCTGCTTCGCAGCACTCACGACGCGCAGCGCGCCGGCCAGCGTATTTCGGAGCGTAATCGCCGGGATAGTTTTCAATCGATCGATCGCAACGGACGTTCCCTGGGCGGCGCGCCGCCGCGGAAAAAGAGCACGCGCGCACCGTAATTCGCGACCGCGTAAACGGCGCATCCCCTTCTCTCGTCTCCTCTCCTTCCCACCCCCTCCCCCCTCTCTTTCTCTATCTATCTATCTGTTTCCCGTTCTTTCTCTCTCTCTCTTTGGACCTCGTTGTTCCACCAGTATGAATATCGGAGGCTGAGTTCAAACACGAGCAGGAAGCAATTTCGCTGTCCTTCGGGAATGGCCTTGGCGTGACCGCCGGGACGCCATCAACCCGCCGCCGCATCAATCGTCCATTGAATGAAACGCGACGGGGTTCCGCGACGGGCGGCGACGGCGGCGGAGTAATCAACGTCGCGAAATCTATAAAGTCGAAGCCGCGGATCCACGTCAACCTCCGACACGAAAACGGCGAAGGGAATGACCGATGTGGCGGAGTGAAAAAGCACAGCCGCCGGAAGAGCATTAATCGGCTGGAAAACGAATCACCGGATGTAAAGTTCGCGAGAGTCTCTCTTTCTTTCTCTTTCTTTGTGTCTCCCCCTCTAGTATCCAATCCCCTTTGTCCGTCGCTCTTTCGTTGCTGCGAGACGTTTCGCATCGAGGACTTAGCGGGGAGACCGGAACGACCGTCGGCGAGCAGCGAAATCGCGCGCTAATGGCGACGACGAGGGAAATTTATGTGCGTGAGAGGATCGCAACCGGTGTCGAGCTGAATTATTAGGACGGCCCGGGCGAACGTTTTAACTTCGCGATCCTCGCGGCTTTAAGCGTTAAGCAGAAAATAAATGTGCCTCGTCGTGTGTGTGTGTGTGCGCGCACGCGCGCGCGTGTGTGTATTACCGAATATTGAAGCATCATTCGCGACGAATCCGCAAAAATCGAGCGCGCGGGGGAAGGGGGTGGCATTATTCTTCCCGGCGAAGTACGATTTCCCGGGCTGCGCGTGTGGCATGCGGGTAGATAAATTCTCCTCCGCGGGCTTTGCGTACAAATACGAATAAATACTTGGCGTGTTAGCTCGCAACGAAATTCGCGGTAATGAATAAAGTACGCCGTTACACGAGGAAGACAACGGTCGAGGAGGATATAATGTACGCGAGCGCGCAACAAGAGGATCTGCACACTGAGAAAAATTTCTGGTAATAATTATCCAGCTTGTTTTATAATTACTACAATTAATGAAATAGCATCAATTAAATATAAGAGGTGAATATTACTATATGAAAGTTAATGTTACCAATAATTTTATAATTATTACCAAACATTTGGTAACATTTATCATATTGGTTACTATTTACCAAATAATATGGTAAAACGCATTTGGTAAGTATTACCAAACTTTTTTTTTCAACAACACAATGTCTGGCAGCAATACGTTACACAGCCGCGGCGTGTACAGGTGGAACTTCGTCGAACTGAACGCAAAATTCCTTTAACATTTCGCGAATGACCACGTGAAATTTTCAGGTATTATCGCCCGCGATATCATGCATCGATTTTCTTTAATTAACAGTTGTGAATCTATCTACATGTTTAATTACTTTTTTGTTTAGCTTCACCTAACATACGGCACACAGAGAAGAACATTGTTTTATCGTTGCGAAAAGCGACTTTCTCCTTCTTTTAAGCAACGGTTATCTTCAACGAAGAATATTTTCCTGATAATAGTCGTGAAATATGCTCATCACAAATTTGAGAAAAGCTCGTTGTCATGTACTCGAAAGGAGAATTTATTCTCCTCACAAGAATATTGTGAAACTTTGCCGAGGGGAAAGTTGGTTCGCCTCTATGTGCTAAGCGAACCGAATCTGCTTTAATCTAATATTCTTGATTGAAACGCTGGGTTTACTGGGGTTCGGAATGTCTCATGAATAAATGTGATGCGAGGTAGATTTGGTAGATTTATGGTAGACATACCAGGAAAGACTTACTCCGAAAAGATTGACTTTTCGCGACCCATGTTTAATAGAGACTTTTTATTCAGTATAATGAATATTTATCCTATAAGTTTGGAATACTTTTTTTATAACATCCTGTATAAATTTATGGGAGACACCTGAAACAAGTAACGTTCACTTGAACGCAGTATATATTTTTCTATGTGTGCAGACGTCGCCATCACGACTCATCTATCGTATATAGCGCGTGATCATTCACCCTTGATTAATAACTCGGAATTTTACGTGGTTGTTTGCGAGATGGCAAATGAATTTTGTGTTCAGTTTGACGAATTGTACCTATACACCGCGGCTGCATGACGGATTGTCGTACACTCTGTATATACGTTCGCAGCCTGTGTTTTATGATAACATAGAGACAATTACACCTCTCGTATCATGGCCGCGCGGAATGCGTTACATCTTGCTGCTCTGGTCTTTATGATAATGCGGAAGGCGCCGTAATTCTCGCAATAATGAAACTAAAGCGCGCTCGTCGCTCCTCATTGTTACCTCCGACACAATGAACGTATCGTAAAAACGGAAAACGCAGTCGATGAAGAATTAGATCCGCACGCACGCATACACGGCCACGTTTTGTTTGAACACGACGTTTTATTGCCGAAAATATTCGACACATTTGCTTTTTCCGGCGCGGCGTTCCGCCATTTTTCGTGTCGTTGATTGCAAATCTGCGTTAGCAATTGAGAAATTCGCACAGCGACGAAATCAATATGGAGATTCGCGCGTGCCACCAAAAAAAACAACACTCACGAACTTTGCCGGAAATGATCAAGGAACATAAATACTCGAGGAACTTTTGGAGAACCGGTAACGAATCGGTCGAAGTCAAGATTTGAGATAAAAAACTCGACGAATCGTGGATTGAGACGTGCGGAAAGAGAGAAAGAGATTTAAATAACTTTCTGTGTCGAGAGCGCGATTCTCTCGTGCACCCACGCGGCGGGGAGGAGGTTAAAGGCCTCAAACGAACGCCTACCACGACTCGTTTCACGTAACGGAAGCCAACGACTTTCGACCTCTTCGCGAGCTTTCGCGCAGAGGCGATACTGGCAAATGACAAAGCACCGCCGACGAGGCCGACGGCGACGTCGACAACGACGACTTCGTCGTTCCTCGACCTGCTTTCTCGTAAGCTCTCGTGCAAATAATTGCCGGGCAAATCGGTCCGCCGCCACGTATATACCTACTTCCGGCGCTCACGGGTTACACAGGGCGCTCTCGCTGGTGGGCGGCCGCGTATCTGATAGCGTCGTAAGCGGTGGCGGTGGCGGCGGATAAGAGAGGAGGACGCCCGACGATGAATACCTGCGCGGTTAAGGGGCGGTAATGCGGCCGCAACGCTCTTGCACGAAGGGAAACAGCGCCGCGCTCCAATAACTAATATCGGGGAAAAAGCACAACCGGCAGGGAGGAAAGGAGCGTTGGTGGTGGTAGTGGTTCGCCGTGGAGCGTGCGCAAAAAGTGGAAATTAAATTTCTGAAATTATCGTGCCGAAACTAGTTTTCGCGCGCAAAGTGCGTATGAAAGAGAGAGAGAGAGAGA